ACACACACACACACACACACACACACACACACACACACACACACACACACATTATAAAATATGTTATGTTGTAACAAAATATGTGTTTTTAAACCACGTTGTAAAATGATATTACAACTACTAGATGCAATGTTTTGCTTTAATTGCATAATACAAGAGATACTAGTAGCTAAAACAATAAGTTCACAGTTCGCCAGGGTTGTGCGTAATGTTCGAACGTTTTTCTTCATTGTTGACGTATAGGATAACTTTCGCATTGTACAGCATACTGCCCACGCCACGAAGTGGGTCAGTTATTGACTGTAGTTGAGCTTTTTTTTATCTAATTCAGTGCCAAGAGCGTTACCTAACTGTATCGCCTGCGATAATACGACAGGCTTGCGTAAAAAACTGTTACGTGTACGAGACGAAAAACCATAAAGCCTCGTAATGCTCCGGATAACGCGGAACCAGTGTCGATAGCCGCGTTCGATGTAAGGTTTCTCGTTAAATTTGAGAACGCTGCGGCCAGCTTTTGTATTATTTTTATAACGAGAATATTTAATAAAAAGTATTTATATAAATCAGTCGTTTCTTGTGTAAGTATGTACGTTCACCTCTCTTCCATTCGACGATCAATCCCCCTCCTCTCCCCCCGGATAATAGTAGGTGTTAGATTTCTCGAAATTTATTTTGCAATTACACAATAATGTATATTAATCCGTTAGTATATTAATCTATCGTTTATATATACTGAGAAATTAATACTGATTCGTACAACAATGTACACATTATGCTTTCTTGTGTTCGAATGTAACTTGTGTTCCGACATAATACACTTAATGAATCCAGACTAATTAGTGTGTCATAGTTGCTATATGTAAACGACATTTATTACTCCTCAGTACCTTCTCGAAGCAGGATGGTGTGCGGACGGGAAGAAGATCGGTATCACAGAACCTAGAAGGGTCGCCGCCACTTCCCTGGCGAATCGTGTGGCCGACGAGCGCAATTGCATCCTGGGGACCACCGTGGGTTACTGCATACGCTTTGACGATTACACCGATGAAACGACCAAGATTAAGGTGCGATTCGCACGCAAATAACACGAGCCCTCCGCCCATATATAATTCTGCCGTTGCGAATAAAATATATAAAACTAACGCGTTCATTATTATTATGTTAGTGTTTTTATTATGTCCATGTGTACGCTACACATATCTATATTATGATTTTGTTTTACGGGAACACTCTGAGATGTGTAGTATCTTATTTTGTAGTACATGACGGAAGGCATTCTTCTGCGAGAATTAATGAACGACCCGTTATTAACGAGCTACGCGGTCATTATCTTGGATGAAGTGCACGAGAGAACGCTCCTGACCGACATCATAATGGGGCTGCTGAAGAAAATAATCAGGGTGAGTCCATTAATTCTGCTCGCGGGTATAGATCCTAACTGTAACCGAGGCATGAAAAAATTCGATGTCGCGCTTTATCATTGTGCAGAAACGAAAAAGCCTACGGATCATCGTTTCGTCGGCGACTGTTGACGCGGAGGAGCTCCGCGATTTCTTCAATGTGAACGCGACCAAGGATCCCGCCAAGGATAGCGCCGTCATCATAAGCGTCGAGGGACGCCTGTATCCGGTGGAGGTATTTTTCTTAAAAGGTACACACACGCAAAGTCATTTGCGCGATTAACGCCGCCCACTGTGGTTCTCTGTTTAATTGCAATCGCGCGCATTACAGAGCCAGTTGCAAATTACGTTAATGGTGTGGTGGACACCGTTCTAAAAATACACGAGACGGAAGAACCAGGCGATATTCTAACGTTTCTCACGGGACTCGATGAAGTCGATCAAGCCGTCTCTCTTTTATTGGAACACGCGAAGCTCATCAAGGACGGGAAACGTGAGTGGGCGATTTAACTATTTTTCCGGAGTTCTCTCGCACAATTTCTAAGTGTCAAAGTCTTCTCGGGAAGAGAGGATCCAATTTCCGAGTTGCTCCGTTAACTCTTGCTCCGCTGAACCCGCTTGCCCTGAATCCGCTAAACGGATTTTCTAATATGCATTATTCAACACCGTTATGGCGGAACTTATTGTCTTTTCAGTAATGTTTGAAACTTATTCTCTAAAAAGTTGCGGCCGATTAATCTTCTACAGTTCGTCCTGATTTTCTTACGTTGCGATTTTGCAACGTTTCAACATCCTGTTGAATAATGCACATCAAATAAAAATTACTAATAAACTAATAAAATATACTAATGATTTAAGTGAGCCACAAATTTATGATTAAAGCGAATATATGTAATTGATTTCCAGAAAAACTGCACCCGTTGCCGATGTACGGATCGTTGCCGAACGCGGAGCAGCTGAAAGTATTCTGGAAGGCGGCTAAAGACACTCGGAAAGTTATCGTGGCAACCAATATCGCGGAAACGTCTATCACCATTCCAAATATAGTTTACGGTACGTTAGTTGTGCCTTAGTTTTTGCATGCATTAGCCAGTAGACTAGCGGTGACTCAGCGACGTTACTAATCTTTTATTGTGTGTGTGTGTGTGTAGTAATCGACTGCGGCTTCGTCAAAATACCTTGGTTCGAGGCGGAAACCCAGACGAATAGCCTCGTTATCGTTCCAGTATCAAGAGCTTCCGCCGACCAGCGAGCTGGCCGCGCTGGCCGCGTTCGTACAGGAAAAGCATATAGGTAAAAGAGGTTTCTTGATAAGCGTTTGGTTACGTGACTTATTTACGTAATAACATACAAATAAATTCATCTACTACTTCAAAAACGACCTATAGCTCGATTTACTTATAACCTCAGAGGTTATTTATGAACTCGAAAACGCGACACACGTTTATTAATGGTTTGTTAATACTAAGGACAACCTGTATTTTTAATCATTTGAAAAATAAACTCTATCTTTACATAAATAGAACCTTATATAAAGGTCTTTTACATAAAACATACATGACGTAAAAATATCATTTTTATAAATTAACTATATAATATAATTTATATAACTACAATATAACTTAATAACTTAATTGTATAATGTAAATTAATATAAAACTGTAATATAATATAACTTATATATAACCAAAGCAATTTACCGTTAAGTATATGTGATTAAGGTAGCCAAATAATTATTACAGATTGTACACAGAGGAGGCTTACGTTGGATTATTCGAGGCGACGCCACCGGAAATGCAACGCTCGGACCTGGCGCCAGCGATATTGCAATTGAAAGCGCTGGGCATCGATAACGTGTTACGATTCAATTTTCCGTCTGCGCCGCCCAGCAAGAATCTAGTCATGGCTTTGGAATTGTTGTACGCTCTAGGTGCGATTGATGGTAACGGAGATTTGACGACGCCGCTGGGTCTCACGATGGCGGAGATGCCTTTGGAGCCAGTACTCGCGAAATCCTTAATTGTCTCTGGTATGAATAATTAATAATCCACTTCTCTAGAGCAGTGTGTAAAAGCATAAAGTCATGTGAAAACGCGATACAGAAGGGTGAAAGAGAACTAGAGTTTCTTGATCGTTACAAAGTCACAATAAATTGCATTGCGGTAATGAGATGAATAATGATCGGTAATATAGGTGAAATGGGATGTTCGGAGGAGATCGCAACGATATTCGCCATGCTGCAAGTTCAGAACGTCTTCGTGCAACCGGGTGGAGGACAAGCTATTTTGAAGGCGAGAATAGCGCATCGCAAATTCGAAGTGGAGGAGGGCGATCTCCTGACATTGCTGAACGTCTACACGGCTTTCCAGCAGAACAAAACGTCCGCCTGGTGCCAGAAGCACTTTCTCAATTACAAAGCTCTGTGCAGAACGACGGAGATTCGCATTCAGATGCAGAAAATGTTGAAACGCTTAGACATTCCGTTGACATCCTGCGATGGTACAGACTTTAATTAGTTTAATTAGAAGCAAAATGATCAAATTCTAAAATAACTTTGTAACTATTACTGATCTCTTTTAGGGAATGTCCAGCAAATTCTCAAATGCCTGACAGCTGGTCTCTTCCCTAAAGCGGCGTATTTGCACTATACAGGTGTGTACAGAACGGTTCGAGGTAACAAGGACTTGTTCATTCATCCGAACAGCTGTCTGTATACCTTACAGCAGCCACAATGGTAAGTTTAAGAGCTGTTTTTTACTTTCTTCACCAGAGTTCTTATTTATTTCATTCAATTTTATTTTATTCTAGGCTACTATTTTGCGAGATTTTGCAAACTAATAAAACATATATGAAGGACCTGACGGTTATTCAGCCGGAAATACTGTTGGAATCAGCACCACACTTTTACGAGAGAGCGTCTATCGAATCTGTTTAAAGTATTACATGTGAATATATGTGAATCGTATGCATTTAATACACATAGTTATTGTCTATTTTTGTACTTAGTATAGGAATAATAATTTTTATATTAAAAACTACATCAGTATTTTTAAGTCGCATACTGTGTAAATCTTATGAAATTGTAAATATGATTTTCATTTCCATGTGTGAGAAAAGAGAGAATATTTATTTAACAAAAATATTTTAAAATTTATATACTAGTATGAGTTTATATGTGCATACGCGTATGCATATCTTTCGATCTTTCGTCGTTCTTCCTTCGGTGACCACTCTCCGGATAATGATTTTCGGTTGCTTATAATTATTTTATTAATTATAAGTAAATAATTTTAATTGTCTTTATCATTTACTTTTGAATAATATTAATTATCTAGAAATAAATAACTATATAGCTAATTTTCATATGAGTTCCCTTGTAAATGAGAAAATACATATGAAAACAACCGCAGATCGCAAAATCATGCATATTACCTGTTACCCACTAAGAAGAATTGACGACGTAGTTTATACTCACGTTTTATGGACATAGAGGCGCTTCAAAGTAACGAACTGCTAAATCGCGACCACGTATAATCACTCTCAGGTTTTTTTTATATTAAATACATGATTGGTTAATTTCCTTGTCCATATGCATTAAACGAATATTAGTATTTTTAAATACACAAATTTTGATCAATCTGTGATCGATTACGATCAGGTTCAAACGTTTAAGTTCTGTAATTGGCTAGTAGAGACTTATGGCGTCATTAAAGCCTGATCTACAATATGCTCTTTGCATTCTGTTTCTTGTCTTCTGCCTTTTTCTGGCTTAAAGTTTAAGGTTTGAGTCAGAAAGAGATAAAGAGAAAGAAACAGGAAGCAAAGAGCATATTGTAGATCAGGCTTAATAGATTCCGGTCGATAAAAATTCGTACATTTAAAAACTCAATATAGTTGCTTTCCAATAAGAGACACAAAATTGTTTCATTGACTAAATGTCATCTAAAGACGATCAAGATAATATATAGCCAATGATAATCCATAATTTGATACAAGCGTAATTATATTCCTTGTAAATACTTTTTTAAATTGTGATCGCTGCACATGCGCAAACAACCTATTTTGTTGAGCAATACTGGATGTCAAACATTTAGAACACGTGGGAAGTCTATTGAAAACCGCTATAAATGTTTGACGAATGAATGGTTGAATATAACCTCAAATTTTTTGGATGTATCGTCTGTATATGAAATCGAGTGAGATTTCTGATATAAGACGAGTTTTGTTTTAATTTGAAATACAATCGATATGGCAGAGATAGTCGACTCCGTGAAGCAGCTGAGCGTCGAAAACGATGCAAAACCGTGCAAAAACGATCAAAAGATTAGGACACACAGCAAGTTGCATTTGTGGAAAAGAGAAAAGGCATCGGATGAGTCTGGCGATTACACCATCTCTGTCTGTGGAACTCAAAGGCAAGTCTTACATTTTTTTGTTGTGCATTTCATGTCAAATTTATACGAAAGTATGATTGTATATAATTTATATATTTGTATGCAATTTATATTTTTAATATTTAAATATGCTTTTTTATATTTTGGACAACAGTATATTGTTATGTTTGGCAGTTAGATTTGACGTGAAGCACGTGATATAAATATATATAATTTAATCTTTATTACATAAAGTAATATTCTATGAAAAAAGGAAAGTAAATTGAAGTACTTCTTTCAATATGTGTAGTGATCAGGACTTCTACATTGCAACATCATCGGGGCGTTTTTGCACAATATTCCAATTGGGCCAATCGTTAGGCAATAAACTTGTATTACCTCATCATCAAGCGTCTATTGTAGGAATCAAGTTTAATTCTACCTCCAATAATATATTATATACTGCTACTAATGATGGAGGAATCAAAATATTTGATTTGCGTGACATTGGTGACAACAAAGCACAACTTATAATGGAATTGGACGATAACTGTTAGTTCTTACAATTATAAATACTTATAAGAAATTCTTTTTTTGTTAAAGATTCTTATTTTGCAATATTCTCCTTCTCTAATGTCAGATAACACAGAAGATGGCAAAGCAAGATCATTAGTTAGCTTCGATGTTAGCTCTGATGATAAGTTCTTAGCTGCTGGAACTGAACAAACAGATGGAGATGCATTTATTATATTTTGGGATATAAGGTACAATAAGAAGAAAATGAGTAAAAAACAGAAGAGCCATCCTATCGGTGGATACTGGGAGTCACATACAGACGATATCACTTGCCTAGCTTTCCACTCGGTTAAGCCCAATGTTTTGGCATCAGGCAGTACAGATGGTCTAGTAAATGTATTTGACCTCGCACAACCGTCGGAAGATACAGCCTTAACATACACCTTGAACACTGAGTCATCAGTGGTAAAAGAATTATCTTGTATGTACTCTTTACATAAGTTGACAGAGGGAATTTTAATTCATTATATCCTTAGGACAGGCTAGGTTGGTTAAACGATGATTCTCTGTGGTGTACGACACATACGCACGCGCTGCAGTTGTGGAACTGTGAAGGTGCAAGCGCTTACGCGACATTCGAACGCAGTCGGTTGGCTGTATTACCAGTGTGTGCTCTCTTTATTATAACAATAGATTATTCATCTTGGTAGATTCTATGATAGAAAGATTGATGGATTTTATTCCTTTCAGAATGACGATCCCGAGAATTGCTACTTAGTAAAGTACCATAACACAAATGCATTTGGACAACCTTTTCTACTAGCAGGATACACTACAAATAATAGGTAGTTGTTACAATTATTATGTATTGTAGGTTGTTACAATTATATTTATATTAAAAGAGGAATATATAGAGTATTCTTAAACGATGTTTTCTTCAGCGAGAATTTAAGGTGTTTGGACATCACAAGCGACCGTTTGGAAATATGCGATGAAATCATAAATAACAACCAAATAGTACGAGACAGTTGGGTGCATGAAAAGGTAAGTTGAGCGATCAGAAGAAATTAGAGAATAATTGCTAACCGTGTATCCGTGAATTTTTTCAGAGTGCTACTCTGGCGACAGTCGGCGAGAATGGTATTATAGATTTGTGGCGACCGGAACATCTTGATGAACATTGTAAGGCGCAATCTGGTAAGATTAATACTGCGAAAAATCGACAACACAGGACTAAACCATATTGAATAGAATTGTTGAGAAAATCGACAATTATAAATGCATTTTTGTAAATAAACATAATAAAATTGAAGAGATACGCCGTTTGAATAGAGTTGTAATCATATATTTCCCTCACATTCTTCTTTATTATACAATAACAGTTGTATGTACATTTATAATAAATAGGTATTATTTGTTTATGTGATTATTCAACGGCGAGTCATATACCGATCAAAAAATGCAGCACAGGTTTATGTAAATACGAAGGAATGTAAATCACATATAACTCTGCAGATATACGGAATTAACAGACGAGAAAGAGAAAAGAACGAGACCGCGAGCTCGCAGAGAAACTGTTTCGTTTGTCGTAGCGAGATTAGAGTTAAAAAAGGTAGATTAAAAAAGGGGGTGTATAAGATGTGTGTATAATTGTCATAAAGAGGATTCGTACCGAGCATTACGAGTAAACGGTAGTCTTGACAAGATAATCAACCAAACGTTTCGATAGTAATGCGGATAATAACAACAATGATCGACAATAGCCTATAGTCAATACTTCGCATTTGAAAATCGTCCGAATTCAAGAGACCTTTATCATTAATCCGTGAGCGCATCATTAACCAAACGCACGCTCTCGCTTATTACATATTATAGTAATATTACATTAACGTTCAAAAGACGATCGCAGCAGCGAGTATCACAATGATAACAGTAGATACAGTTTTAGAGTGAAACAGTAGGTACAGAGTAAACGTACAAAAATACTTCCCATGAGCATCGGGGACGTAAAGATTCGCTAAAACGTGGAAAAACCGCGTTATTAATAATTTATATATATAAAAAAATATATATACTTATATATATATTTTCTTATATATATTTTTATATATTCTTTCTCAAACTTTTTTGCGTCGTCACGTGACGTTATTCTAAAAAACGCCACGAGACCCGCGTAGGCCGTCGCGCTATTCTTTAGCTGTTACCGATTTGATTCTTCGCCTTATCCTGCGTGGATACTGTGTGCGACTTCATTATATGGATAAATCACTTAAACAAGGGAGGGGGGAGGACAGAATTCGTGGGCATTTTACGGACACATTCGCCACGACATCGTCATCGATTCGCTCTAAGATACCGTGGCTTTTAAGATGCGACTACGAGTGCGCGGAGAAAATTAATCGTACGCATGTTTAGTCTCTTGGTTTTTTATGTTCTACGAGTCATTTCTTTTTTTATCCGATGAGCATCCGATGTGTTCTTTTATCTGATACGTGTGTGTGTGTGCTGGTCACATGCAGAATAGAATCTATATATTATGCGTACTCGCGCGATGAAGTCGAACACTCATCCGTGGAGGACACTAACAGCTATTTGTAATATCATTTGTGAGCATATGCATACTCGGCATTGTAACAGTAGTAGTGTAGTAGTAACAATAGAGTAGTAGCGTAATAGTAGTAGAGTTATAATAATAGTGTAGTAATAGAGTAGTAGTAGTAGTAGTGATGATGCAGTGGTGATGGTGATGGTGATGGTGGTAGTGGTAGGAGTAGCAATAGTAGTAATAGATTTGTAGTAAATCGTCGCTTTTCTCTTTTTTTTTTGTCATAACTCGACATCTTACGGAATACTTTTAATATCTATTGTCACCATGATTGATTGAGACGAACTTGGTAGTATTACTTAAGTTTCCTTAACGAGAATTAATTTATTAGTCGTTTATCTTCTTTTATCATCGTGCCTCAACGATGTCCTACCCATACTTCAATTCGATCATATTGCACGTCAGTCTTACCCAGTATTAGGAATGTTATATTTACACGGCGTATAACTTTACGGTCATAAATCGACGTTTTTAGGAATCCATAATTCGGATGCGTATTGATATAATCATCACAACAATATATTCTTTTATGTATAACACAGTTGTCGCAATTGTCCGTTGCGTGTTTGAATTCGAGAGGTTGTTCACAGTGATGTTTTCGCTAAGGTAAATGCTAGGTATGCGCTACCAACTGTACTATACGGAACAGCGAATCAGTTTCAACGTGCAGTATGACCGTGCTTTTGTGTTTTACGGGTCTTCGCCTTCGCGCCCGGCACTCAAGAATTCATTCTTCTTTCGTTGATATAAGCGTGAAAAATATATAAATAAAAAGTACATCAGACAGTGCGGAATACAAAGTCCGCAAAAATCGACACGAAGTCTACAATACCGCGAGTTGCCCGAATCGAAGTAAATGCGATTTTTGCCGCTCCTGTATTCGCCGCGTAGATTCGCGCGGACTTTCATTATCGATCTTACACAATGCAATAAATAAAGTAAATTGTAGACAATAATACGAAAAGAAAAGAACACTCGACAAAAAACAATAATGGCAGTGAATAATCTCGAAGTAAAGAGTGTCAAATGTGAATCCCCCTCCCCCCATCCCCGCCACTCATCATGCCAGTTTCGTTCGTACGGAAGAAACAATTCAATTTACAACGTACCTATCATGTACAATGATAATACTCGCAGACTCATTCGCAAAGCCGGAAAGAATAGTAACAGAATCGTTTGTAAAGCAAGTGTTTTGAAAAAACGAAATATCGACTTCGATCAGCGGCTTGGCACACACAATAATAAAATAATAATAAAATAATATAATAATAAAATGTTAATGATAAATCTTACTTTAGCCGTATTAAAATATCTTAAAAGTTACAATATAAGAATAGCTACCGCAGACTCGCCCGCGTGTTCTCTAGCATGCATTCACAGAGATAATTGGACACACACACACACACACACTCTCTCTCTCTCTCTCTCTCACACACACACACATACATATGCATACACGCAACACATTCGTCATTGCACTCATGCTTAATTGCACATGCTCGCATACACGCACACACATACACACGTACAATGATATACGTGTGTCACACGTACGCTTATGAAAAAGTATATATATGTACACATTCATGTATATGTAACCGTAATATATATGTATCTTTATCTACCTTGCATTTCAGCAAGTAGCAACAGGTTTGCTTAAAAGATTTATCTAAAATCTGTGTCTCTAAAACAGTGTCAGTCGGCTTAATAACGTAACGACGCAAGAATTCAACAAGATCGGCTGATCTACTTCGCTAAGCCGGCCGTTAATACTTTTTTTTTTTCTTTTTATCCACTTTTCCCTGCGAACTTTTCTCTAATAGCTAATAGAAATTACACTTTACACTTAACGCGTTCCTTCAAGGTAAATAGTATATCGTGACATTTGGCATAAAAATGATATTATTGCCATCAGTAACATTTGGAGCATACACATCGGTATTATTCTTACCTTTCTCAACTATATCGTAAAAGTAGATTGCTCGCGTTTATTGACAACGTTGTCGCGTCGTGGCGGACAAGATGGAACATCGTATTGTGCATTGGTGTGATGGAAGCAACTTTTGCGATCTCATTATGAAATAGATCATCATCTAGGTATCGCGAAGTTCTACAAGTAAAACGATTAAATCTCCGGAATAAAGGAAAGAGTCAAATAGATACACTAAGGGCAAGTATGACACGACAGATAGATACTGGAAGAAGGAGAAGGGAGAGAATATTACGCAGAAATAAAGAAGGATTACGATGAGAAGCAAAGGGGAAACGAAAACGAGTACAGGTAGAGACAGCATCATTAGTGCGAGAACGTCGAAAGTCAAAAGGACTTGACGCGGCTACGAGGTTGACTGTTCCTCGTTTGGCTGCGCGACGGTGTCGGCGTAGAAGTTGGCGTGGCCACGCCGGTGGTCGCGCGCGAAGAACGCGAGTGCTTGCGACCGAATCGAAAGAGTCGTCAGAAAAAGATCACCTCCTCTTCCAACGGTTGCTGCTGCTGCTGTTGTTGCTGCTGCGGCGGCGGCGGTGGCTGCTGTTGCGGTGGATCTCCGCGCTGCTGATGCTGTGTCTGATGCGCATACGTGTCCGGGGGTGAGCGTGTGATGCGGAGCGAGCGGTTCGACGAATGCGTGTGGCTGCTGCCGGCGTGACTGTTCCCGAGTTCCGGGGACGAGTACGCGGAGCCGGTGACGATGGCCGGGCTGCTGCCTGCCCGGGAGTGCCGGTCTGGGCTGTTGTTACTTGCGGTGCTGCCGCTTCTATCGATCGTAAGATGAAATGGATATTAATTATTTGCATATATGGCTAGAAGGCGTTCATGCATTATTTGCATTTGCATTTCTTTTCTATTTGTACGACTCATGTCTAGATAAAAGTACAGTTATTCGTTGAAGAAGCTCCTACTTACCTTGTATTGTTGTTGCTGCCGCTAGCTAACTTCAGAGGCAGTTGTTGCTTGACCGGCAGATTACTCTGTACCTTCTGCTGATTCGTCGCGCTGATCAAGTTCATAGGGATACGTTTAGCCTCGGGCTGAGACTTGCGCGTGGGCACTGTCTCGGCGTTCTGCAAGTGAGACAGATGTATCGTCGTCGAGCTGGCGGAACTCCCGACTAACGTGACACCTTGTCGCTCCAAGGCCTCGAGACGCCGGTATAACTGATCCCGTTGCTGTGTCACGTCTCGCTGCTCCGCGACCAACTGCTCCCTTTGCCGTGCCAGCTCGGTGCGCTCCTCATCCAATTGACTCTTCTCCTGCTGCGACGCGGCGCGAAACGCAGCCTTCTCCCGACATAGCTGGTCCTGCAAGTTCCGCAACTCCTCCAACTGGCGATTCGAATTCGGTCGGCTGTTGGAGGTCCTGGTCATAGGCATACTGCTGCCCTCTTTGCACGCGGCCAATTGCGCCTGCAGACCTTCGATCGTTGTCATCTGATTATTTATTATACAGAGCAACGTATAAACGTGATGAGACAAACGTATTGCCGCCAGCTGTTGATCCTTATTGGTCTCCAATTCTTGTCCCTCCTTTTCGTCGGGGCTCTCTTTCGGTAGCTCGCCGAGCTTCGGAACGGGTATCACGACGTTCGAATCACGCACCGGGTGTCGCTCCTAGAACGCAGAATGCAATAGTTATCGTTCCATTCTTTTTTATCGTCTTTCTCCTTATCTTTTTTACCTTACCTTATTACCTTCCTTATTATGATCGAAACCGGCAAACGTTTCGGCCCGTCGAGGAACGCAAAGAGCCGGCGGAACGTAAGCCTCGCTGTGGCGTTCACCGGCAGAACTCAAGCTTCTCGATAGAGTAGCGCCTCCCGCGCTGAACGACAGCGAGCTGGCGAGACGCGTTGCTTCTCGCACGGCCATGAGCGCCTACGTTAACGTGAAATTTATATTTCTATTAACTTCAGATTTTCTTAATACATACATTCAAAACTTGTTAATACATTGAATTGATTGTTTGACAATGATGTGTTGGAAAATGTACAGCATGAGATTTACCTCTTGCCACAATTGAGCATCGGTTCCTTCGTTGTGCGCAAATCGAGTGTAATCGGGAACCTCCTTTTCGATTCTCTCGTTGTCACTCTCGTTTGCGCTCCAAATGTTCGCCACGTGCAAAAGCCGCATTTGCAGACTCATCTTCTCCTCGAACAGCAATGCCTGTTCCGCGTCTTTCTTCCGCAACTCACCTGACAGTACAAAATTTTCACTCAATCTTTGCTTCTAAATGAAAATGGCACTAGGAGTTACGAATTCAGCAGAACGAACAAAACGTACCAACAATTCTAAGTATGTGTGATTCCTTAGCTTTAGCGATGCGTTGCTTCTCCTCGGCAGATACGAGGGAAATCGAGGACGAGCGAGTGTCGCGTAATTCGCTGCTGTTTTCCGTCAACGATTCGGCTTCGTTCTCGGGCTCCTGCGGACAGGCCTCGACCGCCGATCGGATTGATTGTATCCACAGCTGCTTGTCCTTTGGCTTCTGAACTTTGAGCTCGAACATCTCCGGATCGGCCGGATTGCTGCTTATTATATAAATGCTGGACTCCTGGCCGGCCTTTTCACGGACCAGCAGTTTCTGCAGCGATACTATACCGGCTTTATTGTCAGGCACGAAGAACGCATATTTCTGATCCCTCTCAGCCAAGAAAAATAATATGTCTGAGAGAACGACCACTACGATGGCAGTCATTTTGCCACGGCCTTGCATTAAGTATGCGGTGCCCTCGAACTTCAAGATTCTGTTGAACGCCATTATGTCCGACTTTTTGAATTTGGCACCACGGTATGTAGCAAACGACTTCGCGTCGATCCTGCGGAAAATGATCACTTGTGTTCTCTCGAGTAGATTATGAAGGAAGTGAGAGTGAGCGAGTCGAACGATCGAGGTAAGAAAGAAAAAAAAAATCGACTTACTTATTATATATTTCTAATTTCCTATCTTCTCGTTCCTTGTCGGCTACGCAGGCATCTACGTCGGCTAAAATCTCCTTAACAAGTACCAGTGCTTTGCGTAAGTTTTCGTTCTCCTCTTGCACGATGCTGGTTTTAATGAGCGGTTCCACCAGCAATGGATACTTTGTCAGACGTTGAGTCACGAACAGTATACACTCAGGTATACCTTTCTTCTTCAACAACGGATTCGCCTGAAGATATAGAGATTACTTCGTTAGACTGAAGTCTCGATAAATTATTAGTTCGTTTCAAGAGTCTTTTCCCATAAACACTCAACAAGTGTTGATACGAACATATTTTTCTCAAATATATACAAAAAATTGAAGTATGATATAAAAATACATAATGTATAAAATACATAATGTATAAAATACATAATGTATAAAAAATATAGCAATATACCTTTTACGGAAAGACTCCCGAGTCAACCTGATATTTATGACACTTGTAGTTTATCGTTTGAAATGTACCTGACAATGGCGGACGAAACGTGCGAAACGCGGATCGTGACGCTGATAATACTTGTACGCTTCGACGGCGTCTCTATGGCGACTACAAAATTCCCCGTACGCGCTCTTCATGCGCTGCGCGTTCTCACCCGAGAACTGCTCGACCAAGATATCGGCGATCGTGTTGACCACGTGATCGGCGTTCTGCCGCTTCCGCAGCTTCTGCAGGAACCGTAGGTGGGTGTCGATCAGGTCTCGCAATCGCGGAAACATGCGCTCAAGGTCCGGCTGGCCCAGACGAAAGTGACGTTGCAGACCTTCCGCGAAGATTCTCTCCATGGCGAGTAGCACCAGGCAGTGATGCTTCTCAGTCAGCACGAATTCGTATATGTGCTCCTGCCTCTTCACCTGACGCTCGCAATGATCAACGAGGCGCAGCGCGACATTACGTCCGATGGCGGCGCTCCAAGAATCCGGCTCCTCCTTGCTCAGTCCCAGCTCGGGATCGATCTCGTCGAGGTCTGCCACGGTGAACTGGTGATCTTCCCCGAAATCAAATTCCTCCCATCCACTGAAACGAGGTAGAGAACGGTTTGTCAGCTTCCTTTATTGCGTTCTTCTAATAGCGTTACGATATATCGGACGACAATATCGCTATATCGATATTCATGTGGGCCAAAATTTACGATAACATCTACGGAAGAAGAGAAAAAAGAGAGATGTGATCTACAAACCTGGGAAGGTCGCGATGTTGCCCGCCATCCCCATCTTTCTCTTCGTTTATCGTTTGACTGAAAGAAAGATATAGCTTTGTTTCAGAAAGCACTAAATGCGATCAAAAGAAGAAATCTTACTCTTCCCTAAATGATGCATATACAATGTTAGGTTGAACTCCAGCTTGTCTGAAAGACTCTTCGAATTAACGTACTGAGATATGTCGACCATTCATCAACAAGACTGCGAATTAATATTATACGTAGTCTAGAACTATTCTCTTTTTTCCTTTTTCTCATCGGTGTGACCATCGATACAAACCTTTCGTGTATAAGACGATATTTCTTATCTTTGTTTAAACGTATATAAATTCGTCTAACTCTCGTTATGTAGTCAATACATATCCGATATGTTATCGAACTA